GTTGAAAACAGTTGTGCTACTTTATATTTTTGTGGAAACTGTGATTATATATATATTTTCAGGATTCTTAGATGAATAGGAAGGTCAAAAGAGCAACAGTTATTTGAAAGAAATCTTTCGTAACATTATAAATGTCTTTACGGTCACTTTTGATTAATTTAATGTGTTGTTGCTGAAAAAAAAAGTTAAAATCTTTCTTCTGAATGGTAGTATATCTTCTTAATTTTAAAATATAATTAAAAAATATTTTGAATATTTATTTTTAAACACATCTTTTTCAAATTTCTAAAACATTCTCTTTATTTCTTTTTAAATTTAGAGAAAAAAAACTATATTTAAGCCACTCCAAAGTAATGATCTTGCAAAAAATGATTTGCTTATGTGTGAGCATGTTTGGTTCTGCATGTCAAGACAACTTCCTATTTAAACCACCACTACTTAAAGCAAGTTCCTGTAGAGTTCCAGTGCCTATTCTCGTCATGGTTGATGGTGAGAAGGTGATCTATACTTCCCTGGAGGTGCTCATCGCTGTAGGATGCTTCCTGGGGAACGTGCTGGTGATCTGGGCGGTGTGGTCTTGCCGTGCCTTGAGTCAGACCACGTTCTGTTTCGTCGTGTCTCTGGCGGTGGCTGATCTTCTGGTGGGAGCGGTGGCTGTGCCTCTCGCAGTGGTGGTTGATGGACGCTTGGAGACTAGTTTTTACTGCTGCCTCTTCATCAGCTGTGTGGTCATTGTGTTGACCCAGGCCTCCGTTCACTCCCTGCTGGCCATCGCTGTGGACCGATACCTGCGTGTTTATAACCCTCTCAGGTCTGAACATTTAATAGTCAAGCTTTTTTTGCAATGCATATTTGAAGACTTACTTGCCAAGTTGATCAAGCTTGCTGATAAGGAGGAAAGCAAATGTTTGCAGACCTTAGAGATGATCATGATACTGAGTAATATGCAACTTGAAACAAAAACATGAAATCTAAATGACCCCATTTAAAATCTTATTGTACATTAAGAATGTATTTATTTCACAGAAATGTTTTCATAATCTTCAGTCAAACTATAACTTGCACTGCCTCTGAAAATGACACTTTACTTTTTAATATGATCTTTAAGTATTGAAATGTCCACTTTTCATGACGCCATTGATTCCAAGTTTGGAGTCTGTAATTTGTTTAAAAATTTAATGCTAAATAATTTAAGAAATTATTCATTTTTTTAAAAGAAATTAATACTTTTATTCAGCAAAGGATGCATTAAATTGATCAAAAGTGACAGTAAAGACATTTACA